TTATTGAAATGCTACACGTTTGAAACACATCATAACATTAATGGCTCATAAACATCAGTTACCATATGAGGACTAGGTTATGGGGAATATATAATTACCACGTCTAATGAGTCAACTTCGTTAAGATCAATGATGTCATAAATATATCTCATGATGTAAAATCCACCTTCTTTATCTTCAAGTTGACGACGATACTACAAATCAAAAAATAAGAGTAGCTGGAATTTAAAAAACATAGGAATGACAACCATTTAAACGACCTGCATTAAGGTTCAAACTAGCTACTTACATTTGGGTATAGCCATTTTATGTTCTTTCCTCCAATGATTTGGTACGTCACAAGGGCTCTATTATTAAATATTACATAAATTAGATCATTGATTTATAATGTTGCAAACCAAAGTTTTACAAAAACAGACACTTACTCGGTGAATACTTTCTCAATATCATCGCTTTGTTTGCCTCCAAGTGAATCAAACCAATGAATGATATTCGAGCCTGGGCAAATAGCACATAATGTCCAATGGTTCCTATAATATATAAGTTAATGATTAGAATATCATATTGTTTGCGTGAAAGTTTGTTGTAATTGATTATTTACACATTAATGGTGAAAACTTCTTACCCTTCACGAATTGGTGCAAGCCAACATTGCTTATTGCCTTCCTTGATAGTACTTCCTATGTAAGATATCCTATCTTCTCGTGTATGCCCTACACCTTGAATAGCATTTGGACACAAAAATCCAAATCTATGAAGAATTCCTCTAAAGAAGCAAAGTTGGTAGCAAAACCTATCAAATTGGATGCTAATATGTGAGTTGTCTGAGAGAGCTAAATACATGCATGTGTTAGGTCTAGAAATGAGAACAAAGTTACATACCTCACAAAGAGTTGGATAATGGTTATGCACAGCTCTTGCATGCTTAGGAATTTCATGACATCTTGCTCAGTAATATAGAAATCATATTGAGAACCCACGATCCCACTATCAACAATTGTGATGGGAAATATAATTCTCCTACAGTTTACAGATAGTATTCTTAACGAGTCAATGTCCCTAACAGTATGTGAGTGTGTGTGTTGCTGCTCACTTTGGGAAGGGAAGAAAGGGTTATTTGTAGCAGCGTCACCTTCTATAGCACATCCTGCAATATAATATTAAAATAGCCATTAGTTAATGCAAAGTGCATTAGTAAGTAGTAGAGCACTTTGTAAGCATTATATTGTTAATTTTATTTCATATACCTCACACCTAAGCTATAATAATAATAACAATCCCTAAAATCTTATACATTATTGATGCTACTCACACATATACGCATGCATGGATGATAGAGTCAAGAAGATGATTAGCATTGGGAGAATGTGTTTGAGTTTACATTGTTTTCATGCTCCTTTATCAGACAGTTTCTTTGCCTTTTCCCCCCCTGGCATCTAAATCCCAATTGAAATCTGAACATAAAAACACGGTAGTAACAAATTGAAACATAGTTCACTAGCTACAAGTGAAATGCTATATGGCTTAGCTTGATGATGTTAAACAAATCCAAAAATCATGAACTTGGTATGTCATCTACAAGTGAAAAGAGAAAAGATATTTACTATTATTATTATTATTAAAAAAGAGATGTTAAAGGAATTAACACGCGCACAAAGAATATTCGTTCATTCATATATATTCATAAATGTGTGCGTAATGATTCTATTGAAATTTTCAGAATTTCCATGCATCTGATTATATTGCATCAATTAAAAAAGAATGGTAATCACACTTTACCTCGGTCACTCCTCAAAAAATCCAAACTTTGGAAAGGATCAGTGAATCGGATATTTTCCATATTGGTCCATTCATCTCTGAAAACATAAATTCCGCTCTCTTTTACGGCATCTCCAAGCTCTGAAAATGGACAAATCTTTACATGATTCCATTGATCTTCTTTAATTTCTCCATTCATTTGGAAATTCCATATATACTGCATAATTATATGATCCACATCATATCCCGCAGTCGGGAGCATCAGGGGACATGTATATGCCATTTCATCATTTATGAACACTTTTGTCCAGATGAATTCATGATCCACCATTTGTTGAGCAATAGCACAAACACAGAGGGATGGGGGGTGGTGGTCACGAAACCAAAAAGAAATGGACCGTCCTTTGTTACAGTTATCGAACCATTCTGGGATGCTTCCCCCTGGCACACAAAAATAATTTCTATAGCCGTAGGGACCAAAATCCAATCGAATGTTGATGGGCATTACAGATACAAGTAATTCCTGTGAGTCAAAAGAAATGAAGTCATATAAATATATACATGTAGAACTTTTTGGGTGTGAATATCAGAAAAGTGGAGACAGAAATTCACCTTACTCAATAATAACTTTTTGGACTCTGAACTCATTGATACACAATTTTCTGCCGTCAAATATTTAATGCGAGGCGAAACCTTTTCCACTTCTATTAGATGCTTGCATTGACAGAGCTTAATTATTCCCAAATTTTGACAATGTTCTATGCATGCGGGCAAAATTGTGAAATCATTGCCGCTCAAGTCCAAAAGCCAAAGATTGGGGAATGAAGTAAGATAAATATGAAGGCTCTCATTGGATATATTACATCTTAGTAGTTCAAGATTCCCCATGTTTGGACATATCATTGACTCCACTTCCATAAGCAACTCTTCGCATCCTTCAACATCTATCTCCTTAAGTTTTGGCAACAAAAAAGTGCTACTTGGTAGCTTCATTGACCTAATTCCCTTGCCCGAAGTGTCATCTCTAAAATGTGTTATCTTTACAAGTTGAGTAAGATTTTCAACTGATGGAGGCAATTGATTTATACCAGTTCCATCCAAATTCAACTCTTTTATTTTCATTTCACGAGTTGCTATTTCTGGAAAGTAATTCAAACTTGAGCACATCTCCAGATCCAGATCATAAAGAGAGGGTGTATTCAATTCACTTGGAAAAGTCATAAGCTGGGCACAGTTACGTACATTCAAAGTTTCAAGTTTTGCTAATTGCCCAACTGAATTATCAATTTCAATCAAATTTTTGCAATTACCAAGCCGTAACTTTTTAAACTAAACTGAGAGGCCTGATAAATCAGGTATGTGAATGATATACTTGCACCCTTCAAAGTTCAAAACACTCATTTTCATATTCTGCGTTATCTGCGATAACCAAAACCATATATAAAGTCTAATTAAACAAATGATGAAATACAAGCTAGCCAACCAAATAAATACACATAATATTAGGGGTGCTTCACTTGCCTTACTGATTTTCGTTGAATTGAAACAACTATCTCTCACATTGAATTCAACAACATCCTTTGGACGAAAACCACGTGGCAAACTTGATGAAGGGTATCCTGGCCATCTCAATACTGCTAAACTATTGGGGAGATATTTGGGACCTTGTGAAAATTTTGTATTGTCAAGAATAAGAATTTTGAGATTGTTCATACTCTTGAAGGCTCTTCCATTCCATTTTACTTCTATGCATTTGGACCATTCAAGTTGAATTATGATAATAACTTCATCTGTGCCCTTTTAAACCAAAAATAAAAGAAAATAACAAAACATTAGCAGTTCATATATGTATAATAGTACATAGAAAAAAAAAAATTACATATTCGAAGCTCCAGAAATGTTAAGGGTTTCCATGCTATAGTTATATGATGGGAAAAAAAAATTCGAAATCGAAATCAAAACGACGAACCAGATAGCAAACAATGTAAATTGATGATTGAGCCATGCAATAATTCTCAATTCTTTTTTATATATAAAAAATAATATTCTTTTCGCATATATATATATATCAAGAATTGAGATGAATTATATGCATTCAGTACTTTAAAATTGATGTAAGGGGCAACCGCCCTATTGCGCCACTACCAAGCAGCTATGAACAAATGCTAAGACCAAGAAGATAGAGGATATCCAAATCATTTCACACCTTAAAATTGTTAAAAGATATTTGGGGGCTTTCTCAAAAATTTAAATTACCAAAGTTAAGCTTCTCTGTCACAATTTATCTTAGGAAAAAAACTTAGGTAGTTCACCGTATTTAGTTTATCCAATTGAATTAAAGCAAGTAGTTTTGAAAATTTTAAATACCTTGATAGTTTTGATTACAAAATTAATAAAATAATTGTTTTCAATTTGACTGGACAAAAATATCATAAATATATAAGTTTTACTTTATAGATTCTAATAGACTGTCCTATATTATGATCCTCACTTCGACTCATTTTCACCCTTATAAGCTCTAAATAAAAACGAAAATTTTCTATCATCATAGAAGAGCAGTCATAATGAAAAATGATGCAATATTACAGAACCAGAAAACGAATTCTATAACAAAAACTCATGCATAATTATTAGCTGTATGTCATTTTAATTTTTATTTATTTTTTTGGTTTCTCTTATTTAGACCAATTGTCATATTTTAAAAGAATATTTTAGGAACAATTTTTCATGGTAAGTTCAGTAAGGGTAGGTTTCATCGCATAGTTGATAGCATGTAAATATATAACACAAATCCCTGTAATTTCTTATCCATAAACACAAATATTGAGAATATTAAATACCGTAAAAACATTGATAAACCCTTGTGCAAAATTAAAACCACGACATAATAAGCACAACAAAATAACTTTAGAAATCGATCAAGCCAAGCTTTGGGTTAATCTTATTGAAATTCCATGCATACGGCCTGGTCTTCTTTTGAATTCTAAGTATTATCTTTCTGCATTAAAAAATAAATAAATAAAAATCTCATTAATTGTAATAAGAAAAGTAGATAATTTCAATTAGTGCCAGAATTACCTCATTTCTCTCCAAAACACGCAAGATATCTTTACTTGACCATAGTCTACTGCGTTTTCCTGGATCTTTTGGTGATTGCAGACGAACGATGTCTCTCCCCATATCTTGTACCAGATCGTGCATTTGAATAAAATAGCCCCCATAATTCTTTATAAGGCATTTGTCTACCAACACTCCAATATGATAATCTGGGTCAAAATCATGAGCAATTGCTACCATCTTTTTGACATATTCCAATTCACTACCTTTGTAGAAGCAAGCAATATCAAGAAAAACTTCTTTTTCAAGTTGTTGCAAGCCTTTATAGCTTACTTCTAATATTTGTTGAATCTTACCATGAGGGATTCTTTTACATCCATCCAACATAGATTTCCACTCATTTACATTCTTACCATACAAATCACGGCTTAATATTTCAAGGGCCAAGGGAAGACCACCGGAATAACTCATCACCTCATTCACAACTTCTGTGTACCTTGGATCATCAACTTGCATCTTCCCAAAGGCATTCCAACTTAACAATTCAAGAGACTCTTCATGATTTAATCCCTCCATTTCATATCTTCTTTCAACCCCATGACTCTTGAGTAAATGTAAATCTCTTGTTGTTATAATGATCCTGCTCCCCCAACCAAACCATTCACATGCCCCAGCTAACTTTCGTAACTGCATTCGTTCATCTACATTATCAAGAATCAAAAGAACTTTCTTATCTTTGAGCATTCGTTTTATGAGCTTAACTCCTTGACTAATCTCTTCAAATTCTATCTTCTCTCCTAAGAGTTTTGAAAGCATCCTGGCTTGCTCTTGTTCTAGGCCATGTTTTCCAGATCCTTCTTTGATATCATCAAGAAAGCACCAATAATCAAAATTATCAGCAATTGTATTATACACTGCACTTGTTATTGTTGTTTTACCCATTCCCCCAGTTCCATAAATTCCCATCATGATAACCTCATCATTTGACCCCAGTTGCAATAGAGAGTTTATTTTTTGCAAGCGAGAATTTAAACCAACTGGATATTCGGCAACATCAAGGGGGGCCCTTCGAATTATCCTAAAGATGTGGTCCACAGTATCTTCAATGAGTACATGTTCGTAATCTTTCCTGGAAAAGCAAACAGAAATTTCACTCAATTCTGATTAAATCCATCCAATTCATTTTTCATATACATGCATAATAATTGTAATAATCTTCTTCAATTCTAACCATAGAAACTAGCTACGTAAAACATATAATTAGAAGGAAAAAAAATTAGAAGTTGTAAATCACCTTGGATCATATGATGAACCTTTAAGATGAGCTATTTCATGTAGTGCATGCTTCCAACTTTTCATTTTTTCTTCATCAGCCCTTGAGTTTTGTCGATGTGTAACTAGTGCTTGTCCATATTTTCCTCTTTGATGTCGTACTTCAGAAGGCTCCACATCATAAAAGATTGGCCAAACCAGCCGACCATTTTTCTTGATACATTGATGGATTTGGACTAGTTCGTTTAGGCAAAATGTTGAGGAAGCATACTCCTTAGAAAGTACAGTAATGGCAATCCTAGATTCCTGGATTGCTTTGAGAAGCCTTGGTGTAATTTCATCCCCTATTCCTATTTCTTTGTCATCAAAGAAGGTGCGAACTCCCTTTCGATTGAGCTCTTTATTTAGAGTTCCTATGAAACCATGACGAGTATCTTCACCTCTAAAATTGAGGAAGACATCGTAAGTCCATTCATAGTGTATCGAAGATATTTTTGGTCGGCATGTCATAGTTATTATTGCTTGCACTGGAAGATTGAAATGAAGATTTCGTCAGAGTAAATTTAGAATGAAAAATTATCAAGTATGAAAATAATACAGACAAAGACACCCTTTAAAAGAGAGAAATGACGAGGATCTGAATTGACTTTATCGTGAAAATAATAGATGTTGCCAATAACTAAGCAGCTAGTATTGTATCCTAAAAGAAAATGGAACTACCTAGAAGAAGATGAAAGTTGCTTGTTTGTCTCCGTCTCAATCAGGAAATGAAAAGATCGACGACCAGGCTTTCCTCAATATGATTTTTATGCATTTGGAATTTATTTTGTTCCTCATATAATACTGCATGTAGTATTTAAATAGGAAAAAAGCCCCTGTTTAATTAAAAATAAAAAAGCAATTTCGTTTTCATCAGCTTTTGAAATCCAGAAAATTAAAAAAAATGAAAATACAGGAACACAAAAAAAAAAAACAGGAAGGATAATTAAGACATTGACTATTGTTTATGTGCCCACCTAGCTTCGGCAGATCCCTTCAGTCCAGATACTGAAGACAAACATGCAGTTTATTTCCTAGTAAACTATAATATAAAAAGAAATAATTATAATCCATATATGGACAAATATTAATGGAAGAACCAAACAAAAAGGAGTGAACATTAATAAACTGTCAATTTATTAACATGAGATTTCCTATGCACGTTAGACATAACAAAAAACTTTCAAGTGACAGGCATAAACTGACGGGTCTGATTCACAAACCCCACATAGACCAAAATTTGCATAATACCCAACGACTCGGGAGTCTTGGCAAAGTGACCCGCTCATAGTTTTTCCTTATTCCCAAATATCCACAGAATCCTGACCCCCAAACAATCATCGAACAAGAAAGCCTGAGACAGAGACTTACATAGTATGATTAGGTTCTAAGTAGATGACGCTGTATACTTGGCTTAATGGGGGAGACAGAAGCAACATTTAATTCCTTTTTCTTAACAGATTCAAGTCAAATGAGATCCCCAACAATTTTGGAGCTGCGCCGTACTAGAATTAATCCAGATGGCACAAGAATGCATCAAGATCTCGGTTTATACATGAGTATTTGGATCCAACTCCTGGGTGAACTCAGTTGATTGAAAGATGGAAACAATACAGTAGTTGCGAAGCCCAACGCCGATCAAACTCATAGCAGAGTGAAAAGGACAAGAATATGAAAGAAGAGGCAGGAATTAATTACCAGATCGGAGGCAGAGAGCGATGGAGAAGGAAAATACTAGAAAATGTCAAAATACATGGTCTGCGCTGGATGAGAGTTGCAGAAATCTTCACTCTTCCAGGCATTCTCGCAGCTCTGTTCGGCGTCTCGTCCTAATCGCTCCAGCGTACCTCGGCAAAAATATCTGCATCTGAAAGTCTTCCATGTTGACTCACAGACAAGTGTTGATTTGTAAGTAAAGTGGCAAAATGTTCAGAAAAGTTTCCAACGTTGGACTCAGACAAGCATGTTGATTGGTTAGTAAAAAGGCCAATTGTTCAGAAAAATTTGTGGCAAATTTACAGAAATGTACCCTTAACATTTGCATAGCTCAGAATGGCGATTCCAATTACCGGGGGCCAAAAGGCCATTGTGGAATATTGCACTACAATATTACCCCTCGTTTGCAAAGAGAAAAGCTTGATCCCAGCCTCTTGGATGTCAAAAAAAAATAACACTCGTGTTGTCCTAAATTTAAATCCATATAAAATAAATCTTATATTTAGAATTGAAAGAAGTACTTTCTTATATTTTTAATATAATAACTAGTTAAATATTTAATTTGATCCTAAATATAAATATTAATCTATTTGGTTTATAATATTTATCCATTTGATCAATTTACCCTATAAGTAATCCCCATAGTAATTACAAATATTAAAAAGTTTTCCTCAAAAGGTATTTCTACTGTACATAAATAACAATGATATTTTAAAAAAGACAATATTTATTTATTATAAATAACTAATTTAACTAATTTTTTTAAATATTTGTAAATTAATTATCTAACTCTTATATTAAATATTAGAGATAGTATGATCATTGAGCTACCAAATCATTTTATTAAAATAATATAAAATAACTATTAGGCTTTAAACATTCCAGATACTTACAATACTTTATTAGCTATTTATTACATTTTATTAGAAAATTTTACAGTTGAATAATTTAATCTAAAAGGCCATACTTCATGAGTTATTTATTACATTTAATTATAAATGTTTTTCCCATAGAAACAAAAATATTTATGGAAGTCTTTTATAAATATCACGCAACGAAAATCTTTTTAAAAGCCTGCTTTGCTGTATTGATGTTGCAGAACGAAATTGCTATTATGGGTTGTTTTATTTAACTTTTCATTTTCTATTTAGATTTAAACTTGCAGTGCACACTATGTATCATCCTTCGATCTTAAATATAGTTAGTTACTAAAAAAGTTTGATTTGATCCCAAATGTACGGCTCAATTTATTTATTTCTTAAATTTATAATTTATTCTTTAAATTATCTCTCTTAAAATTGTTCAGAGAACTTCTGTCATAGAATGGTTTTCGATATAAATAATTAAAAGTATATTTTAAAAAACCACTACACATTTCTTCCAGGTTTTAACTTCATTAATTTCTGTAAATAAGTTATATGTTATTTAATTTCTACGTTTAGAACTTGAGCTTGAGGAATATAACCAAAGTTTCATTAAAAAGTGATGCCCTCTTCTCTTGAAGGGCTGCATGCTGGAGACAAGCAGATCAAGTATTAAGAAAAATAAGATACTTCCCTCCCCAACTCCAAAAAACGAATGTACACTAGGACTCAACCTATAAACATCTCTACTGAACGCTTCACTTGGTTATGACCTAACACACACTAAACACAATCCATCCTTTCACACCACTTTCTAAACTGCACACTACACTTGATATCACAATACTAGCTAATCCAACAAGCCCTCATCACATATGTACAAATAAATAAATACTCACGGCACACCATGTGGCGCCTCTCATTTCCTTGCTGCTCTTTCAATAATCAAAAGGAGAGGGGAAAAAATGAACTAAGAACATAAAATATACATTCATGACTGCCAGAAGATACTAGGATCATCGCTGTACAAAGAAGAATCATGAATTTCCTGGTTAGCTCCATGGCGATTGACAGGACGGGATTGGATGATTTTACACAGTGCAAGACTAGAAGGAAGAGTCCACCATTCACTTTCATCCCTGCATTTCCCCAGCAAAGGGCAAGTACATTTTGATATTTGCCAAATAGTCACAACTTCACAAAATCTTCAACCCCATAATCACTTCATTTTTACCCGTAATCTGCTATATCAGACGTTGAAAGACACTTACATGCTAAAATTCCACGATTTAAAGTTGGAATGCATTTTATTTGATGAGTTTGCTGTATGATGAATCAATCCACAAACGAAGGCAACTACCTGCAGTTAGATGTAAAGGTTAAATAGTAAGTACCTTACTGGTAACCATACTGCTTTCCAAAACAGAAGGATGAAAGATGAGAGATTCAGCAAAACTCACTAAGGATATCAGATTCCACAGGGCATAAAGACAAGCAAGACCTGCAGATCTCCTAGGTCCTTGACTAAGCAAAGCATTGATTCCAGATGGAAATGGAAATAGGACAACCAGCGGAAGGACAAACAAAACTAAGAGGAAGTTCATCAGGGATAGAGAGTACATCTGAAGCAAAGTGAGCAATACTAATATAAAATCTCCGGGCAGTAGTATAGAGATAACCAGAACAACTAGATCCTGAAAGGAGGAGAGAATCAGGTAAGTGCCATCAACATGAATTTCGGAGATACAGAAAATAAAGCGGATGGTAGAAAGCATTCACTACCTGATGGCCAATAGGCTTTGTATTATAGAATATAAAACTGAAGGGATAATATATAGTTATTTTCTCTTTGAGCGCCTTCAAGCTCTTGGCATTTAGAATCCCACCAAGACTTCTTCTAGGTATCACCTGCTGATCGTTACTAATCAAGTTATGCACCGGGTTTCTGCTATCTCTAAGAAAGATAAAGGGAATATTATGATAAGATTGAACCGTAATATTGCACTGAGTTCCACAATGGTTCTCTATCACACCACCTTTGAAAAAAGTAACAAAACATAATCAAACAGAAAGTGGTGCATAGACTGTAATTATTTATCATCCAAGAAAATTGGTGAGTAATACGCACAAGCCCCACTAACCAAAGGCAGAACAACAATTCCAGATGTGCAGAACCACTCTGAAAAATAATTTACCCTTTCCTTTTCTTTCCAGGTGTGGTGAAAGCAAAGTAATAATTGACACATCAAACATGAACAAATATTTCACGATGTGGAAGCATATGAGGTGTGCTGTCACGGCAAAGTGATTTATCAGATCCCCTAAGATTTGGGAAGCTTATAAGGTGGGCAATAATTGATGTATTAGATATCTTTCTTATTGTGTTTTCTTTAAATTGGATGTTAAGGTGTATTTTCAATCAGATGATTTGAAGGCTGACATCGTTACATATGGGGGAATTTGCCCTGGCTCAAATACTGTGATCAGGGAATTAGCATGTGGCTTGAATTTTCTGTGCAGCCTGAATGATCTCACATTTATTCGGAAATGTTTTCATTCTGAGTAGGGAAAAACAGAAAGCACTATGTTCATCTAAAGAGAAAAAAACAATTGATACATGGCATGCTTCCAATTAAAATACTTTAATGTGAAAATTGCGCCTCATGCTTGTCCCATTTCTGAGAAAGCAATTACTTCATGTTTGCTTAGAAACAAAGAGAAGAGAAAGCAAACAACTTACCTCCTGCTTTTTCGAAGAGATAAATGAGGAGGAAAATGTGGGAAGAATCAAGTTATTAGTATAAGGTACAAATTCACCCTTGCATCTGTATAATAGATAATTTTCTAAATAATATCATGTAATTTAAAGTAGCATGAGCTTAGAACCTTTTATAAATTCAGTGTCATGAGACACTTCCCCCAACTTTCATTACCTTAAAGCATGATATCTTCCCTTAATTTCATTACCTGGAAGGTCCAGGTGGGCTGGAGGGGCAAATGGTAATTTTAGTAGCTGAGGGGGCAGGACAGGATCTTGCATCTCAGAGCATCCAATCCGTGCAAAAGCAGGATGCTTCAGGAAACAAGCTTCTTCTTCAAGATGTTGGGCTCTGGATATCCCAAAGGATTAAGGTAGGGATTATAAATTTTTCTATTTTTGCCATGTTTATTGTGCTCTTCAGTTTGATCCTCACCAAGCTGTTGCAGCAGAAGAATATTTACAGAAGTTATATTAGGAGGAAATAATGTGAAATATATTTTCTTGTGTTATTCATGATCAGTAAGAGGGAATATATACACAAGAGAGGAGCCTAGGTATTAATGACTCATTATCAGGAGATACTATCCTATCCTATCAAATCATATCTGATTTGATCCTATACTAATTATAAGATACCTACATATCTTTACACTCCCCCTCAAGTTGGAGCATAGATGTCAATCATGCACGACTTGTTACAAAGATAGTCAACCCAAACCCCATTCAAAGCTTTAGTAAGGAGATCACCCAAATGATCCTTGGATCTCACATGTCCTGTTGAGATGAAGTTTTCCTTGATCTTATCCTGAACAAAATGACAATCAATCTCAATGTGTTTTTTGCATTAATGGAACACTGAATTAAAAGCTATGTGTAAGACTGCTTTATTATCACACCACAGTTTTGCTGGTAACGAGGTTTTAAGACCAACCTCTTTCAGTAACTGATGTATCCAGACTATCTCGCACACAAGCTGTGTCATAGCTCTATATTCTTCCTCTGCACTTGATCTTGACACCACATTCTGCTTCCTGCTCCTCCAGGGCACCAAATTTCCTCTCACAAAGACGCAATATCCTGTAGTGGATCTTCTCGTGGCCTTTAAACC